CGGATCGGGTCAGGCCAGGTCAGCTGTCGGCGTCACGGCGCCGCAGCCGTCCGAGGAAGGCGTCCAGCAGGCGGTCAGCGGCGGCGCCGGGCGGCAGCCGGCCGCGGCGCACGTCCTTCTCAGCCGCGGCAGCAGCGCGCTCACCACGGCGTCGCGCCGGAACGCCGCCACCACCGCCTCCTGGATCTGCGCCCACAGCCAGACGGCCGCTGCCGGCGGCGCCGTGCCGCCAGCTGGCCGTCGGCTGTCATCTGACGCCGGTAGCCCTCCAGCGCGGTCCACAGCTCGGCGAGGCCCTCGCCGGAGCGCGAGGACACGCGCAGCACCGGCGGTTTCCAGCCGGCCTGGCGCGGCCGCACGAACTTGAGCGCCGACAAGTACTCGGCCTGGATGCGGGCGCCGCCGCCACCAGGTCGCCGTCGCTCTGTTGATGACGATGACATCAGCCAGCTCCACGATGCCGCGCTTCAGACCCTGAGCCGGCCGGACGCCCGGTCAGGACACCAGAGCGCGGGAGGCATTGCTACCGCGCTCACCCTCACTGGCGTGGAGGCCTCTATGCCAGTTGGCATCGGAGGCAAACAGGGGCTTCAGCCCGGCTCAATAAGCGAACAAGCATAGCTTCGTTCACGCGGCCCAAAATCTCCCTAGCGAGCCGAGCCCGGCACCCTCGCCCGAGCCCTCGCCGGTCCTCACCTGGAGCTCGTCACCGCCGGCCGGCGCGGCATCAGCAGCACGAACACGCACCATGGTCGGCCACGCCGATCTCCGATGGCGACCCCTGACAACACGGCCTCGCTCAGGCGGCGATCACACGGGCGGTGAGGTGGGCATCAAATGTCCCACACCTCAGCAGCGGCTCACGCAACTCTCGCTGTGGCGCCGGCCTTCAGGCGGCCCGAACGGATGACACGATATGATATCGGCAAAAAGGGGAGCATTCAATTGACACGATATGCGGGAACATTCAAATGGGACTGTGAGGAGAAGGCCGCGAGACGATGACAATCTTTATCCACAGACAATATGAGATGGACAGGAATACCCCACGGCGAGCGATTGCAGAGTACAAACTATTGCGGATCATACTCCAATCTTCATGAAATACTGCCTTTGTCATTTTCTAATTCAAATTATTGCAGATATCTACCCAGCCTATGCACCAGCCAGCAAATGTGAAAGAAGCGTAAGGCTCGCCCGATACCAGCCTTAAGACCCGTCGGTCCCGGGTCGGCCCGCCTGCGGCAGACAGAGCGCTACTCGGCCCTCTGTCACGCACCGACCGTCTCCACGATGATGACGTCATAGCCGGCCAGCTCGCAGAGCAGGATGGTCTCGTTGGTGGACCGCGTGACGCCGCCGAGGTGACCGCGGGTGGGTGACGGCCGGATGTAGGCGGCCGGGTCCACCGTCAGCGGGGATGCATGCGCGTCTTGTCACCCAGCAGCGAGCCTGGCGGGGGTTAAGCAGGGGGGGGGGTTAGGCACGGTGACGACCGTCAGCACGCCTGCAGGCACATACGCAAGTACATGGACGCACGTACGCACGCACGCACACACTAACACACGCACTCTCACAGAACAGCTGAGAGATGGACCGGGACGACAGGACAATGTGTCCCTCTTGTTGCCATGTCAGGAGGAACACCAAATACCTGTGTACACCATTCACTGGAACTTCAGTTTACAGCTTCCATCACCAAAACGTAATTGCTGAATGGCGTGAATTATCTTAAGATGCCGCAGGGGTTTCTCCAGACACAGACGCCTTAGTTCGCTGTCT